CCGTTCGCGCAGTCCTCAAACTCGGCAGTATTTGTACATTCGATGAAGAACAGCGAGGCGTTCTCGGAGAAGGCTTGGATAAGGGATTCGACCTCTCAACTCTCTGTCATACGAATACCGATCAGCCTTATCTGCTAGACGCTCCTATGGCATACCACTATCTGTATCATGTTACTTCTGGCGACAGGCAGATATTTGCCATCTTCTCCACGGCGAAGAATGAGGCTCACATCGTTATCCTTAATCGTACCCGGGACGTCCAAGGCCTTCCAAACGTCGATAAGATTTACGCGGAACTTCGTGCGCGCAGACTGCAAAATCTAGCTGCGGACAACACACAGACTGCTTTCGAGTATCAGGAGAAGCTTCATTTCAAGACCACGCAGGTGACCACAAGGAGGAAAGCTCACTTGGAGGTTGGGGATCTGATCAAGAAACTGAAATCCGAGGAGACTCAGCCTGCCATTATGGTCATTCAGTCTCATCAAAGAAGCCGCCTATGTCATGACGTGCCCATATTGAAGGAATACCCTATTTTACCTGTGAAGCCTGAGGTTTCAGACATGGAACTTCCGCCCTTAGGTTGGCAGACTTTTGTTGCTCGGCGCTTGGTCACACATTATCTTTATCTCTCTGCTTGGGTGCAGCATATGACCTTGCTCGCAAGGTATGGTGATGTTCCTCTCTGCAATCTGGAGAACGACGATCCTCGCTTCATGATCGATATCTCCTATGCCAGGCGTCTTCAACAGAATAACGTTGTGCTTTGGTGGTCCTCGAACCCTAGGCCTGACCATGCAGGCTATGAGAAAGACGACACAACAGGCCCTCTGGAAAAGGTTCCAATGCCGTCCGTAAATATGCCGAACGCATATACAACTGTGTGTATTGAGCTCGAAGTGCGCAACCTCGCCATCAACACGATTCTGACCTCATCCATCATCAACGAAATGGAGGGAGCAGATACACTGCTGGCATCATCTGGCACATCAGCTGACGCGAATGGAGGGGTGCTCTACTCGGAGAAGGCATTCACTTCAGCCGGGGCCGTTGTTCTTCGGGAAATGGTGAAGAACTGGTGGACTGAAGCTTGTGATGGAAACAGTATGGCTGATATCATGGTGCAGCATCTGATCCGATGGGTGGAGAGTCCTGCTTCCTGCCTATATGATCAATCACTGCACCATTATGTGCGCATGTTGTCAAGGAAATCGTTCCAGAGACTGATGGCCGAATTCAGGCGAGTGGGTGCAAACATTATCTTCGCAAGCTCCACTCGCCTTCTACTCCACACCACCAAGACGGAAGTGGGCAACGCCTATGCATTCAGCCAGTACGTCCTGAAGTCCATTCGGGCGAATCCGTCATTCCACTTCATCGACCTCGAGATCAAGGAATACTGGGACTATTTACTCTGGTACGATGAATACAATTATGGTGGCAAAGGATGCCAGGAAGTGGCCGAGTCCGACGAGCAGCCGTTGGAGACGGTCATGCATTGGCAGCTCAGTCGGTTCCTACCCACGCCCATGCAAACTATCTTCCATGACTGGGTAGTCGAGTACATCGAGTTGATGCACGGTCTGAAACGCCCTGATAACGACTCTTCGACTCCTCGGATGACGCAGATCCCCATTGGGCGTCCGAGTGATGAAGAAAGTGAAGAAATCTCGGCTATTCTCGCCGAGAAGTTTTCTAAACCGTTGAAGAAGCAGATTACGGGTCTTATTCGCCGACAGCGGGATGAATTGCTACACCCGGAGCTGGCATCCGACTATGCTTTTCCTGTCCTTCCTGGTGTGCTTTCGAACCCCAATGACGAGAAACGCAACCCGGTTCTGGAATTGGTCAAACTGCTGATGCAGGTGCTCAGTCTGTCCAAGACTACCACAATGGAGACACGACTGCTGCGTCGGGAGCTACTTGCGCTGTTTGAGATCCGAGAATTTAGCAAAGAGGGTCGATTCGAGAACCCAGGAGCAAGCTTGAAAATCCCTGAGCTCACCTGCAACGCCTGTTGTCTGATTCGAGACCTGGACTTGTGCCGAGATGAAGATGTGCTTCCTGATCCTGGCACGGAGTCGAACAAATCTTCGGTGAAACCTTGGCGCTGTCCCTTCTGTCAAACCGAGTATGACCGGCTCGCGCAGGAGGAGACCCTCATTGGCCAGGTGCAAGGATTTATTGTTGGCTGGCAGACTCAGGACCTCAAATGCTCCAAGTGTGGGGGATTGAAGATCAGTGATTTCATGGAGCATTGTTCGTGCAGCGGGGTGTGGGTGGAAACGATGAACCGCGGAGAGATTGAGAAGAAGCTACGGCTCCTGGATAGTGTTGCGAAGTTCCACAACCTCAAGCTGCTGGAGACTGTCGTGGGGGAAGTTCTAGGACAGATGTAATATGGTTGGTCTTTGTGCTCAGCGTTAGGTTCAGGTTTGTTGGTGACAATACCCTGCTTGGTAAATTCTGATAGGAGGATAATAGCTTTGGATACCTTGGCGTTCAAGGGGCGGTTAGCATAGCCTTGCGCATGAGCTTTCTTGTATATAGTCATAGATCAAGTGGATACATAGTCGTGGATTGTGGCTAAATATTCTTTTGGTTGTTTTCCTTGCGATTTGTACTGTACAGGCAGTAAGTTAGGGAGGAATGGCTTATCTCAGTTGCACGTGCGCCACCTAAACAACTAAGGTAAGGTAATCCGCAATCGCATGCTCGATCAAGCTCTCGACGCTTTCGACAGCCGTCTCTTCTCTTCTTTAACATTTAGACTACCTATCAAGATACACAGGTACACAGATTCACATCCACCCCTTTTCCAGTCAATTCACCGAATCGCACTCGAGTACGTGCCTGACCCGTCAGTGGCCAAGTTTCCACCGCGGACCCCGCAGTCGGATGCACTCCCCACCACCCAAGCCGATCGCGATAGGACGAAACAGTCCCTCCCTCTTACTCTCCCCCTTTTCCCAAACGGATAACAACATCTCCCTGCTCGGACGAGAGCTCGGAAGTCTGTTCCCTCTGTACGCCGATCTCCCCATTTCCAGCCGTTTCTTCAGGGTCGCTATTGTTGTTGTTCGCTGTTCTCCGTTCACTTTAAGCTGACTGCGGGGCCGCGTTTCACAGGCACTTTACTTATCAGCTCTCACTTTCTCCTCCTCGCTGTCTCCGCTGAGCTCGTGGCAGCACCGGCTGTTGTCGTTTCTCGCTTCTATTATCCTCTTGCCACGACCCTATATATTCTCGGATTTCTGCACTGCTCTTGATCCATGGCATCACCAGCGCAAACAGGCCAGCGCCCCAAGGTCCAGCCTTGTCGGTACAAGACCGGCAAGACGCTAGGCGCCGGTTCTTATTCTGTGGTTAAAGAATGCGTGCACATCGATACGGGCCGTTACTATGCGGCGAAGGTGATCAATAAACGCTTGATGGCCGGGCGCGAGCACATGGTAATTATTTCTGAACTACTACCGGCCAAATGGGATGCACAGATATGATCGCACAGAGGCTAATGGTATGGGCGATCTATGCACCTTGACAGGTCCGGAATGAGATCGCCGTGCTGAAGAGAGTATCGATGGGTCACCAAAACATACTGACCCTGGTCGACTATTTTGAAACCATGAACAATCGTATGCCATCCCATATAACTTGGGTTCGATAGGCGCAGGGGCTCTATGACGCTAACATATTCTTCAGTTTACCTGGTCACTGACCTTGCGCTCGGTGGAGAGCTCTTCGACCGTATCTGCCGAAAAGGGAGCTACTACGAATCCGACGCAGCGGATCTCATCCGTGCGATCTTGTCTGCGGTTGCGTATCTACACGATCATGGCATCGTGCATCGCGATCTCAAGCCAGAAAACCTCCTGTTCCGGACTCCCGAGGACAACGCGGATCTGTTGATCGCAGACTTCGGCCTGTCTCGGATCATGGACGAGGAGCAGTTCCACGTGCTCACCACGACATGTGGTACGCCTGGGTACATGGCACCCGAGATCTTCAAGAAAAGCGGCCATGGAAAACCAGTGTACGTCTTAATCTGGGAATATTCCCATCCAGAGCACCTTGCACTTTTCGAATCAAAAGTATCTGACACGTCCCCTTTCGCAGAGATATCTGGGCCATTGGTGTCATCACCTACTTCTTACTCTGCGGCTATACCCCCTTCGACCGCGACTCCAACCTGGAAGAGATGCAGGCCATCCTTGCAGCCGACTATTCCTTCACGCCTCTTGAATACTGGCGCGGCGTCTCGCCCGAGGCGCGCGATTTCATCAAACGCTGCCTAACCATCGACCCCGCCGCGCGAATGACGGCCCACGCCGCCCTGCAACATGCCTGGGTCAACCCGCCCTACGACACCGACGTCGACAAGTTCGGCTCGGGCGAGGATCTCCTGCCGACGGTGAAGAAGAACTTCAACGCACGACGCACGCTCCACAAGGCCATCGACACGGTGCGGGCCATCAACAAGCTCCGCGAGGGAGGAGGGCTCATGATGGACGGCGTGATGAGCGTCGACCCCAAGCCCGAACGCGTCGTTGGGAACGACGTCTACGAGGAACACCAGTATCCTCTCCAGCACCAGGGAGACCGTGCCGATCACGACGGGGACATGGAAATCGACGGACGGGGCAATGCCCGCGGGCAGACGGAGGAGCAGATTCGGGCCCAAGAACGTAAGGTCAAGGAGACGGTGGCGGGATTGTGGAGCAAATCTGCGAAGAGATGATATATGCATTAAGCACATGTTTCGTGTCTGTCGGATGCTAAAGATAGCCTAGATACCATCTTTTCGTTGCTTCCTCGCTTGTTCCCTTGCTTCTTGGCTGATATATATTGATGTCTGTGTGGTCGATCCTACAAAGATAATCCTACCAATATACGCACGATGATTTGAGCACGACGGGTGCTGCATACTGGTTCCAAAATCCAGATCGGAGCCTATCGATTACGAATTATTCTCCCCGGCGGCAGCTGGTTCGTTGAGCTTTAAAAAAAAATGAAGTTTATGTCTTAATCCTATCCACAAAAAAAAAGACGAAACATGAACACGCCCCCCGCCTTACCCAAAAATGAAACGCACCATCCCCTTCACTCACAATGAAACCACATCATTAGATCATCATTATCATCATCATTAGAGATTCAACCCCAAATATCCCAGACAAAAGGAAGTCTATTCATGAAGGGGCCCCGGGGTGGATCAAAATCACCCAACCAACAACTTCTCACTCCCATCCCCCAACCCCAGAACCCACCGCCGCCACTCCTGCCACTCGGCATATGTACAACTCGCCTTCAGCCCCTGATACTTGACCGCCCGGAAATCCGAGACCTGATCCCATGGCGGCTTGACCGAAGACGTCCCGCCACTACTGGTGTTACTACTATGATGATTACTCGAGCCAGCCCGAAGAAACCGCCTCGCGGCACTGCTATTGTTGCTGCTGCTGCTGTTGCTGTCGTCCCACCCGGCTTTCTGCATCAGGCTCTTGACGGTCTCCTCCTTGGTCCAGCCTTGTTCGACGGCGACGTCGGGGAGGTAGGTGGCGCCGTAGCGACGGCCGCGGTGGATGAAGGAGATGCGGAGGCCGTGGAGGCCGAGGATCCAGTCGAGGGCGTTGGTGCAGGGTTCGAAGGTGCCTAGGAGGGTTAGGGAGCAGGAGAGGGAGGGGAGGAGGGTGGAAGGGATGGGGGCGAAGCGGGTGTCTTCGAATGCACTATCAACGGGGTTTTTGTCTGTCAGTATTTCCAGTTTCCCTGTGGCGAGATTTCTTTTGTGGGGTTCCCTTACGAGGTAAGAGCGTAGTCTCTCAGGCCCTCGGACAGCTCCTGGGCCTCGAAGGTTCCGATACACCCGCGGAGAGACTTGTGGCCGTGGCGCGAGAGGGTGTTCCAGGTTACGAAGAGCGGGTACTCTTGGGGCTCGGGCGGCTCCTCGCGACGGGAGCGTCCGCTGGCGGTGTCGGAGAGAGTGGAGGACCCCGGGGTGGTCAGCGTGGTCGACGTGGTCAGCGTGGAGTGCGAGGAGTTGAGCGATGAGGGCCGAGTCGTCGTGGTGCTGGAGCTGGACTGCAACCGGTGCACGCTGGGCAGCTTGATCTTCCGGTGACCGCCACCACCACGCCCACCACCTGCGGGTTCGTCGTCGTCGTCGTCATCTACGCTGAGCGGATAGTCCGTCTCCTCTTCGGTGGCCTGCAGCGCGGAGAGTTTCTTGAACTGTTCATGGCGGGCCCAGAGTTCCTCGACGGAGGCCAGGTCGATGGGTTCCTTGCGTTGATAGGAGGCTGCGAGGCTCTCGAAGCAATAGTAGCAGTGGGCCGGCGTGGCCATCTTTTCCCTTCGACTTTTCTTGTATCTGGGCTCTCGTTGGGGTTTCGTTAAGAATGGCTAGGTTCGTTTACTCCTGTTTGATCTCGCCGCTGGATCCACCTGGCTGTGGCTCTTTCGGTTTCTTGGGAATTTGAAGATCGTGACGAGTACGGCTGTCACTTCCGTCCGGCCTGATGGGATACACGGCTGCTTGATGTTGAACTGAGTTAATGGGTCTATGGGTCAGGATGTTCAACGACTATCGAGGCGGCCGTGGTTGAAAATCGGTCAACGATAGAAAAAGCCAGAGAGCCCGTAGAGCACAGCTCACAACCTCAGGTCCGCCCGGGAATTGAGTCCGTTGAAGGCCAAAGAGGGGTCGGAGAGAGGGGAAGAAAGAGGGGGGGAAACGGGGCTGACGACACCCAAGCCGATAAGACATTATTATCCCACGTGATGCTGTTGAGAAGCGGATTCGGGGCGGGTTTATCCGTAACTCTGTTTGTCCCTCGCTGTCGGGCGATTCACTCAAGAGCTGAACATGGATGAGATGATCTATAAATGAATAAGCATCTTGAAGTGCATTATACCGGTATGAGACTTGAAGCTCCTCAATTTGAGTATGTTATGATTTGACGATGTCGATCAATTAGGCATCACGACATTTACAGATATATATATGAGAAGCTTCATCCTCGTCAGCGTGCTGATATATTTGCACATCATGACCAACCTCGTGTCTATATACTTTTGGAGGCAAATTGTTCTATGATCCTTTAGTTCATGGTCAGACGAGCATAAACATCAACGAGGAATTAAGCCATTCCCTCGTTTGTTGTGCTTTGACTTCCATGTATCGACACATGGAGGAATCACCTCCGATGGCCAGTTACCACGAAACTCACTAGTATTCGCGTAGGCCTGCTCGGCTTGCAGCTATCCCTGGACGCAGGACTGCCGTTCTGCGGTTACCCGCCCTTGTGCAAAGTGGGAGCCTTGGTGCAGATGTCTACTTATAGACGTGAAGACGAATTTCGCTCACTAGTGTTCACCAATGAGAAACACTCGAAGCTGGTGGCTTCGAGTAATCAGTGATGGCGGTCATCCTTCGGCATTTTGAGACCCATCATGGAGAGCATGTTTCCTGCCGGCCCGGCAACACCAGCCTGACCATGGAGACTCTCAAGCAGATTCTTTGCAAGGTTGATATCAGAATCGCCCTCATCTAGATCTGGCATCTCATCCTCTTCTTCCTCGCCCGATTTGCCCTCCCCAAGTTTCCGCTGATCTTGAGCTGCCTTAGACCGGCGGTTTAGGTCAAGAACTCCGGTACCTCGAAGTTCCGCTTCCATCTGTCTTGATAATTCCTTGATCTGCTCGGTGTCGTCTTCGGAATCATTGTCGAGCTCTTGCACTCTGTTGAGCGGTGGGTGCCCAAATACGCCCCTCTGACCGTGGCCTGACCCAGACGGCATTCCCATCATTTCCGCCATCATTCTTGAAAATTCCTCCTCATTGAATGAGGCTTCTTTGTCTTCGCCCTCATCGCTCAGCTCATCTTCATCATCTTCATCGTCTTCGTGCGAGCTGAAGTCATCGATAAATTCCGCCCCTTCAAAGCCAGCTGAGTCGTCATTGAGGAATTTTTCAAACTGTGCCACGATGCGCTGCAAGTTCTCTTGTGCATTGGAGTCACCAAAAGCACCCCGTGCACGCGATTTGTCGTCGTTGCCCTTTCCCTTGCCTTTCAGTTCCTGGTCTAAATCCTCAAAGCTGATATCTAGCCACTTCTCGTCATCTTCCTGTCGATCCCAGGTTTTTATCTCTTCATCTGTCGGTAATTGTTCATCTCCAGTATCCAGATCTTCCAAAATAAGGTTCATTTCTCTCACTGTGGCTTTATCCTGATTCTGAGGGTCATTGAGCAGCATTTCGAACCCGCACGCCAGCTTCATGCCTATTTCTGCCCGTCCGTAGGCTGTTTGATCTTCCTTCGCCGGCAACTTCTCAGCCCAGGACTTGGGAATGGGGAAGTCTTGACTTTTAAGCTGTGCGTAACCGACCCGGGTGAAGCGCACGCTGACCGTAACGAAGTCCTCCGGCTTGAAGATGAAGCTGCTGATGTCCTTCGAACGCAAGGGCCGTAATGCGATCGGGTCTCTGAGATAAAAGGCCTCCACGGCCGCGGATATGTAGGCTGGTTTCTGATGTAGCAGGAAAGCGACCTTGCGGGGAATGGTGACCAATGCGGAGTGGAGGTTCTCGTTGATTTGTTGAGGGTAATTGCGGAGACGATAAAATGCTTCCTCTTGTATCATGGTCGAGCGCATGAGTCGCGCGGGTTCCTCCATTATGATCTTCCTCGCATCTGCAAACGACAATTTCTCTGTGACTCTGTCCTTCTTATCGTTTTTCGGCTTGATGATAACGAGTTCACCTTTGTTGATCCATACCTGGGAATGATACAGGTATTAGTAAAGCCAGATGGGTATAATAAACTCGACAGGACAGTGACAAACCCTGTTCTCAGCGACCTCCGGCTCCAGCCACGCAGGCAATGCGGCAGCGGCCTCCACGAGGAGGAATTGTCCGTCACCATCTACAACTCTGGCCCATATATCCTTGTGCTTCTTGGTCAATTCGCGCAACAGATACACAATAACCCATTCATCTTCGATGGAGTCTCCAAAATTGGTGCGCCCATGCAAAGATGTTACCCCTGCAATGGAATCAGTACCAGGGCGCATCGGGCCTGGATGAAGGGGCATCGCATACCGTTATCCTTGGTGATCTCCAGCCGAAAACTTTCGCGCTGCCAGATATAATCCTTCAACAGATCCTTTATCAGTTCCGCAGCAGTCTTTTGCACCTCGACCAGTCGCGCTCGCGTTTCTGCAACCTCGTCGAGCGTAGCGGGGGCGGGGCTAGAAGGGATGTGATATAGCGCATAATCAACGGCATCGTCCGGAATCTCTGGCTTGGGAATGGGGCGAAAGGTGGACTTGAACCACTCAAGATCCTCCTGCGACATTGGCGCCATGTTGAGAGCCGGTTCCCAGCCGACTTGCCGCGGCTTTCTTTGTGGACTATTGGGTTGTTGTGAGTGATGGGGAAATGAGCTGAAAATGAGCAGTGAGAGAAATAAATTACGGGCAGGACATGACTTCATACCTGGGCGGAACAAAAAAGCAGCGGCAAATTCCCCGGCCCGGAGACTCGAGAGCGTTGACACTAAGCCCGATTGGGCTAGATGTCAACAATACAGTATCCGTCCAGTCTTCACCGCCCAAAACACGTCCATTGCAAGCTCCCGTCCCGTATTATCGCATAGTCGCAATCTTCAGTTGCTCCCCACTACTTTTTCCCCTTCCCTACCACGAGAACCCTTGTCGCGTGTTTTTGGCGTCCTGAATGATAGCTCGGCCGTTGGGGATGGTCGTTCTTTAATGGCACTCACTTCAATCTTACCTTAGCCGACTAGTTTGTGCAGCAATCGCGTGTTTCCTCGCCGCCTAACCGAACGACAATGCCGTGGCCCTACATCGATACGCCGCGCACCGAAGTGGATGGAAACGCGACCTACCTCACCAACGGCTACCGCAGCGTGGGCCGACCCAATCTAACGGCACTCGACTCGGTCGAAAATTCATTCCATACGCCATCCAAGGACAACGATGTGCTCAAAGGGTTCGGAGTCGCTGAGAACGCGAGACGCTCGCCCGCGGGCTTCAAGCTCAGCACGCCGCGAGCGGGGTCCGGCCCAAAGGCGAGCAGAAGCGCGTTGAACAGTAGACACGGACTCCCAAACACGGCCATTCCGAAGGGGGAGTTTACCCCCCTGATGAGAAGCGCGACGAAGAACAATTTCCTGAAAAACGTGTCGACGACGCGAAGGCATGGGTCCAAGACGCCAGGCTATACGCGAACAAGCTCGTTGAGCGCGGTCAACACCCCTGGGTTGCCGTCGATGGAGATGACGGATATTGACGAGGAGGACGCGACGGATGAGCAGCGGACCCCAATGCCTCAGGACAGTAGCATGCAGAGTACACCGCTCCCGGCTTTGTCCAGGGAAGGAGGCATGGACGGGCAGCAGAATATGATGTCCTTGCGGGAACAGGAAAAGGTAACCTTGCTGCATCTTGAGAAGACTTTCGCTCTCTCTCTTGACGGAGCTTTTTCTGACTATCTTAGATGATCGATCAACTCGAGAAAGACAATTTTGGATTGAAACTGAAAATTCACTTTCTACAAGAACAACTGCAGAAGGCGGGCCCCTCGCACAATCAAGCAGCGTTAAAGGAAAACACCGAACTCAAGGTTTCGAAATTGACGATGCAACGCGATATTGCACGATACAAGAAGAGCCTCCAACAAGCCGAGCGGGAACTAGAATCCTACCGCATTGAATTCCAAGAGCTGAAGGAGAAGTCACGGATGCGGCAATCGGACGACACAATACAGCGCGAGATGGATTTGATGAGAGAGGAGGTGGAAGCGAGGGACAACCAAATCAGAGAGCTCCAAGAGGAGCTACGAGACGAAAAGGACAACCAATCACGGGAAATGGAGAAACTTCGAGATGAAATCGAGGATCTGGAAGCATCGCTAAGACAGAAGGATCGGACGATCGACGAACGTGACGAGGAGATAGAAGAATTGAAGGATAGGGATGGCAAGGAGCGCGATGCCCTCTCCGAGCTGGAAGCAGAACTTCAACGTGCGAAAGAGCAAATAGAAGAGCTGCAGGATTCGCTAAGCCAAGCTAAGCTAGAAGCGAGGGAAGCGAGAGACGCCGGACTAGAGGCCGTCAAGGAGAAGGAACAAGCCCAACAAGACCTCCAGGAATTGCATGATGAAATGGCAAACAAGTCTATCAGCACGAGTGGACTAACCCGTCAGCTCGAAGAGAAGGCGAACAAGCTTGAGGAAGAATTGCGGAGCCTACAGCAGGAGAACAGCACTCTCAAGAGAGAACTCGACAACAAGTCCCGGAACGAGAATCGTCTCGAAGAGCAGTATCGGGAAGGCCAGCGGAGCTTTGATGACAAGGAGCGCAAATTCCACAATGAAATCGCGCAGGCAAGACGGGAACGTGACCTTTCTCGGCAAGAACGTGATAAGTTGGCAGCTCAATTGCAGGATGCACTGGACGAAATCCAGCGCAAGGCTGATGAGAAAGAACTGCTACAAACACGACACAGCGCTTTGACGGATGAATCAGGTAGTCTACAACATGACTTGGCCAACGCACAAAACAAGATTCGAGAGCTACAGCAAGCGGTCGAGGACGAAAGACATCGTGCACTGGACCAAGCCAACATTATTCGTACTCAGTACAAGGACGAAGTCGAGAGGCAGCAAGAAGAAATCGAAGCCCTGCATCATGAGATTGAGGACAAAGAAGGACAATTTGCGCTTGAACAGGACAGATGGGAGAGCGCAAGGCGCACCCTGCAGCTCCAGAAGGACAGGGCTGAGGATCAGGCGGCTGGCTTTAAGCGCACGATTGAGAAGCTCGAACAAGTGGAGCATACTCTGTCTGGAAAAGAGATGAAGTTGCAAGAAGTCATTGACAGCGAAAAGACGCGACATTTTAACTCGGAGGCTGTCCTGAGTCGACAGGTCAAGGAATTGAACGACGACCTGACATCGAAGCGAGAGATAATTGACGAACAGAGGAACGAGCTCTTATCCACCAGAGAGGAATTGAGACTTGTACGACGCGCAGAGACGACTCTCAAAGAGAAAATCCAAGCATTGGAGGATGAGATTGTGGTCCTGCAAGCAAACCTGGAAGAAGAACAGGAATTCGCTAAGGGTCGTACACAGAAAGGATCCTTGGAGCAGGACAGTCAGGTGCAAAAGCTGTTAACAGAAAAGCAAAGACTTCGGGATCAGCTTGCGAATGCCCACGTGGAATTGCACGACTTACGGACTTCTTTCGCCGAGATTGAAGCTGAACGCGATGAGCTTCAAAGCCAACTTGACCAGGTTCAAAACCAGATTGACGACACGACACGTTTCGACAAAGAGAAGGTTGACCTGCGCAAGTCGACTTTGCGTCTCGAAGCCGAGCTCAAGCGCCTCAAGGAAGACAAGTCATCCCTTCTTGAGGCGAAGGAAACACTGGAGAAACAGCTTAGCACTGAAATTGAGCGTGCTACGCTGGAAGAGAACCGTCTTTCGGCAGAAATCGACCAGCTCCAGGATAAGCTACACACAACTTCCGGGGGCAGGGAACGTGAACTCGCTCTCGCCAAAAGTAAGATACAACGCCTCGAGAGACGTATCCAAGAACTCGAAACACTCCTTCATGAGCATCCGCATACTGAGCCTGAGCTCGAGCATTCAACTGCACACGCGGACCTTTCGATGCTCCGTCATGGCTTAGACGAAGCACGGAAACGTGAGAAGGTGCTTCTCCAGCGGGAAGCTGAGCAGAAATCGTCCGTGCGGGCCTACAAGGCACGAATTTCCGAGCTCGAGAGGGAACTGCATGAATCCTTGATGAATAAGTTCGAAACCCGATCACCATCATCGTCACCCTCAAACAAGCTCCATGATGAACTCCGCAGCATGCGGAAGCAACTGTCCGAAGCACACCGAGCACTCAAGGAAGTGAAGCAGAAGAACCGCGACCTGGAGCGAGCTGCCATGAGAGAAGAAGACCAACGTGACCTCCATGAACTACTCAAATCATCCACCCTCGAGGCCGAAGTGCTCGCCCTCAAGGTATCGGAGCGTGATGCCCGTCTCAACGAGCTCAAGTCCCAAATGCGCCGAATCCGCGATGAGCGGTCGTTCTGCGCGCGTAGAGCCGAAATGTCTCTCAAGGAACTCGAGGCTCTGCAAGATCGTTACGACCAGCTTGTGGAGAAGCTGGGAACCAGGACCGACAGCAAGACCCGACATGACAAGGAAATCCTGGGTCTCGGCAAGGAGATCATCTGGCTCCGTGCTCGTTTAAAGCGAGAGGAGAAATTCCGTCGCGATCTGGCTTGGAGTAAGGGATTGATGGAGCTGGGCGAGCGCGTCCGGGTTGCATGGTACGTATACATCCTCCCTTTCATCTCACGAATCAGACCACGCCACAAGATAACTGACTCTCTATCGTTTCACACCAATGCAGCAACGAAGCCGACCTGCGCATGATCTCCGACATGGGCGTCAAACCCAGGGACCGCACCCCCCTCCGGACTCCCCAAGCGAAACTCAAGACCGCCATCTCCATGGTCAAAGCCATCGTCCGCATGCGACGAATGAGCCAGGACTGGAAGAAAACCAAAAAGATCGGCGAAGGGTTGAAAAGGGCCAAGAACGAAGTCATGAAGCGAAGAGAGTCTTCGAACAAATACTGACGAAAAGGTATTCAAGATCAAGCCCCGTCGTCGTGGACGGAGCCAGCCTATCAGCTCTGCCACCTTTTGGCAACAACCTTTTGCATAGATGCTTTATTCTGTTTTAGTTTCTCTCCATTCCCTCACTCGCACTTGCGCTGTTTTGTATGTGACTTGGTTCAAACTCAACATCCAGTCAAGAGCGGTCTGTCATATATTTTCACTTTTGCTTTTCCGCCCCCTCCGCCCGGAAATTTCGGCACCTTTGATGATAAGAAGATTCCCCGACGTGTTTGTGTGCTTTCTGCTTTTGAGATCATGAGCCTGTTGTGTGGTCTCATGTGGCGTTTTCGTTACTTTCGTGCTTTTCTGGCCTCTTTTCTTGTTCTGTTCTTTGCCATAGGATGGATGGATGGATGGATGACTTTGTTTGAATAGCCTGATTGATTTCGACTGAGTACAGTACATGGAACTACACCCCTTACATTCTTAGACTGTACCGAGCTGTTGGTGCGTCTTAGAACATGAACCCCCCAGCCGAATGAATGCATATACATCTGCATTGAGTTTTTATAACCTGGATATGAGTTTCGCTCAATCGGTTGTTTGAATGCCAAGGCTCAAAAACCGGATTCATCAACACAAAATGTTAATAGTAATGCTTTCTTGAGATTGTACCAATAACAAAGGTGACATCTGTGAGGTATGCTTCGAGGGCAACCCAGGTGAGTGGTAAATAGAAGTAGTGTTTTAACTCGAAGTAACAGCATCAAGTAACGCCTCGCCTTGCCACATACTCGAATCAGAAGAAAATCAACAGAGAAAAAAAAAGCTCCTAACACCGAGATCATGGTGAGAAGGGTTTGCAGAGAAACAACAGCGCAAGAGGCAGGAAAACGGCAGAACAAGAGGCAAAAAAGTGTATGTATAGAAGCAAATGGAAACACATAAGCATAGGTCATTCCTTTCGTTCATCCAATTCGGTTAGTAGTGAAAATCAGAGAATCAAATCGGCGTTTCAGTGCAAAAACCAACGAAAAAAAAGATTAGGTCCCTTTAAGTTTGACTCTATATCAGGATCGAGGGGTTTAAGGAAGGAGAGGGGTAGGGTGGTTCTGAATGGACGAGAATACAAAGGCTCAGGCACCCTCACTGCCGAATTCTTGCGTCCATTCGGAGTTTCTTTGCAGATCCTCCTGGCTGACGGTTGGTCTGGAGTTGCGGACAGCCTTGATGAAGTCTTTGAGGATTAGTGGTGGCTCCAAGAGCTTCTCTGCGTCCACGCTTGTCCACGTCATTTCGATGGCGCCCTGATCGCCAGGTGAGCAAGGCGTGAGCTTCTCCGTACCGTCGACGATGACCTAATCGTGGTTAGTCGGCTAGGAACTAGGAAGAAAGGGGGGGGTGTTTACCTTCTTGTAGTGCGTCGCGGTCTGAATCTTCCGAATGGGCTGCATTAACGCATCCTGTACCGCAATGCTGATATCACTGCCCGAGTAGCCCTCGCTCATCTCAGCCAAGGTCCGATAATCGGCTTGCGTCATCTCACACGGCGTGGAGCCGACGGCCAACATAAACATCTTCATGCGGGCGTTGATATCTGGGAGACTGATGTGGACTCTCCGTTGGAAGCGGCGACGAATGGCAGCATCCAACTGCCACGGGATATTGGTCGCACCGAGGATGAGGACGCCCCTGGAGTCCTTTCCGACACCGTCCATCTGCACGAGCAATTCGGTCTTGATACGACGGGACGCCTCAGACTCTCCTTCTCCACGGGGGCCGCAGAGGGCATCGACCTCGTCAATGAAGATGATGGCGGGCTTATTTTCTCGGGCCATGTTGAACAGCTGCTTCACGAGCCTGTAAAAGGGAAACCATTAGCGCCTCAAAATCCTGTTTCGTCTCACAAATACGAGCAAGCATCCATACCTTTCACTCTCACCCATCCACTTGGACACCAAGTCACTGCTACTCACACTGAAGAAGGTACTGTTCGCCTCCGTCGCGACGGCTTTGGCAAGATACGATTTACCCGTACCGGGCGGCCCATACAGCAAGATACCCTTCCACGGTTGTCTCTTCCCCGTGAAAAGATGCGGGAACTTGATCGGCAAGATGACCGCCTCCTTCAAGGCCTCCTTCGCGCTCTCCAGACCTGCAACATCCTCCCACTTGACGTTCGGCTTATCCGACAAAATCGCCCCCGCCAAAGCGGACCGTAACTTCTTCGCATCGGCATCCTCACCATCATCATCTTCTTTCCTGTTACAAAGTAAAACAGTCAATTGTCAGTATCCAGCCGATCCAGAATGATTCCCGAGGAAGAATCAAAAGCATGGAACGAGAGCCTCTTCTTCTTTTTGTGGCAAGAAAACATACCCTCCCTTCCCACTCCCTTGCGCGACCTTCCCATTCGCGCCGACAGCACTCGGCTTCTTCCGCCCTTCCTGCGAGGCGAGGTGGTTCTTGAGCTTCTCGGCGCGATCCATGTATTCGCCGGTCTTTGCGCGGATCATCTCCTTGGAGCGGGGGTTCTTCTCCCATTTCAGGGCCAGCATGAACAGCTCCAGGGCGGAGTAGTAGAGCTGGTAGGCCTTCTCGTATTCGCCCTCATTGTCGTTCTCGATGGCCTTTTTGACGGTGTCAATTGCCCGGCCGAGGAAGTCGGTGTTGCTCATGGCTGTGTTTGAATGAACAAAGAGGTGAGAAGAAGAAAGCAAGCGCGCGGGCTGACAAGGTAGTTTGTTTTTTTGTTTTTTTTTTCTCCCGGCTACGTAATGAGGCTTTGAGAGGGTGGTGGAGGGAGGATGCCAGGGACACACGGACAGGGAACGGAGGAGGGCGAAAGGCGGGGAGAATGACAGTACCTAGACCGAGACCGAGGAGTGGCTGGGTTGATTGGTTGCTTGGTACTAGGTGATTAGGTATGAGATCAGTGTAGCAACAAAGTCTTGCGAATGGATCACAAGGTTGAAATCGCGCAAGATCCCAAGTAATTTATTATGCTCAAGGTCTTCCTGGGGAGAACGAATTGTAGAAGAAACTGAATGAGATTGAGAGAGAGAGAGGTAGGTTGGAGTTGAGATGGCAACAAGTTGAACCCGTCCTCGTTCCCCCCCACTGGGTTGTTTACCGTCTCTGGTTTTCTGCCGCTCCGCCTGGCCGTTTTTGCCCCTCCGAGCCGCCGCCGCCGCCGCTGCTGCCCGCCCGCACCTTGTCACAGCCTATTCTGTTGGTTAACTTTCCCCCCTCCTTCTCAATAGTCCTATAGAACCCTATATAACAACATATCACAAAAATGGCGGACGCTCAGAAGAAAATGCAGGCACTCTCGGATGAGTTCCAGCAATTGCAGACTGGTGCGTACTCTTTTTGAGTCTCCGCCCGTGGGCTGTCCATCCAGCGCAGCGCAATCGCGTCATATGTGCAGGGAAGCTCATCTGCTAACGAGAAATCACTGCCAGAGCTCGACGGTCTTGTCGATGCGCGCCAAAAGCTCGAATCCCAGCAACAGGAGAACTTGGGTGTACAGAAGGAATTCGACTCGCTTGATGACGAGTCCAACATCTATAAGCTGATCGGTCCCGTGCTGTTGAAGCAGGACAAGACTGAGGCGGTGATGGCTGTCAATGGACGGTTGGAGTTCATTGAGAAGGAAATGTATGCCACCCACCATATTCCGCACAAGTACTAAGAAAGAGGTCTAATGGTTGAGCTACAGTAAACGGATCGAGGGACAAATCCAGGAGAACCAGGACAAGGCGGACAAGAAGCGCACCGAGGTAAGCTTGACTTGATTGGGGTCGGAAGATGGGACAACTGATTCTGATGGATTCTACAGATCGTCCAGTTCCAGACTCAGGTTCAGCAACAAGCCGCCGCTGCTTCTGCTTGAGTGGTGAAGGATGGTATACTGGGTTAGCCCTAGAAGAACGATGAACGGCCCCCCACACCTTCGAGGCATGGCAGGGACGGGTGCATCAAGACGACGGACCTGAACGCACTCGCATTGTCGGCGATAATGCGCGGGTCGATATCTCAGCAACACAGTTGCATTCAACTCGGACGACGATGTAGAGAGACGATTGGTGAGATTTCCAGTGTGGGACCTTAGCCAGCCTACTTTACTGGTTGATGGAAAAAGTGTGTGGTTTTAGATACCCTTGCAATGGTTCAGTTTTGTGGTTTCTTGCCTCTTCCTCAATCGATCACCGGTGATAATGTCCCTAAAAGGGACAGAAAGAACCATCATATTGCTTAAAGTAATATTATCGGATTCCAGGGAGCTACCAAGTCAATATCCTAGTTGTTCCATGTGTGCAACTAATCACGCTCTACAATTCACCTGATGCCCTTCGGGCGCTCCATTAAGATTCATCGCTTCATAAATCGCCGTATCTAGAAACCTGAAATATACTCTATACACTAAATCTATGCCTTAACCAAAAGACTGCGTCCGGACATCTCCTCAGGCTGCTCAACGCCCAAGGCAGCCAGGATAGTGGGGGCGACGTCACCGAGGACACCATCCTCCTTCTTGAGGCTCCAGCCCTCGGGAGCGTTGGCCATGATAAAAGGAACCTTGTTGGTGGTGTGGGAGGTCTTAGGGGTGCCCTTCTCGTTCAGCATCTCCTCGGCGTTTCTGGAGGGAATTGTTAGCGGGTCGTATCAATCAGAATTACGATAACAACTCACCCATGGTCAGCAGTGATGAACAGAATGTAGTTGTTCTTCTTGCAGGCCTCGTAAATGACACCAATAGCCTTGTCGGTGGCAGAAACACCCTCGATGGCAGCTTCATAGACACCGGTGTGGCCGACCATGTCGGGGGGAGCGAAGTTGTTCATGACGAACTCGAAGTTGCCCTCACCAAGACGCTCGGCCATCTTCTCACCAACCTCCTTGGCGCTCATCTTGGGGTCCAGGTCGTAGGTGGCAACCTTGGGCGAGGGAATCATGTCGCGCACCTCACCGTCGAACTGCTTCTCGATACCACCGTTGAAGAAGAAAGTGACGTGGGCATACTTCTCAGTCTCGGCAACGTGGCACTGCTTGAGGTCCTTCTTGCTGAGCCACTCAGCCAGCACATTACCCATGTGCTGAGGGGGGAAAGCAACGGGGAAGGTGTAATCGGTCTTGTACTGGGTCATGGTGGTGATGTGGATGTCCTTGGGGTAGGGGAAGTCGGCCTTGGGGGAGCGGTCGTAGTCACCCAACAGCTGGGTGATCTCACGAACACGGTCAGAGCGGTAGTTGAAGAAGAACAAGGTGTCGTTGTCTGTCGAACATTATCCGTCAGTACGCCTATTCATCCACGCCCCGAAAGGAAGTGAAAACATACCCTGGACACGTCTGTCCTTGCCGCCGACAATGATAGGCTTGAGGAACTCGTCGGTCTCCTTCTTCTCATAGCGCTCGTTGATCGTCTTGACGGGATCCTCGCTGTCTTCACCCTCTCCGGTGACGATACCCTTCATGGCGATCTCGACACGGTCCCAGCGCTTGTCGCGGTCCATGGCCCAGTAGCGGCCAACGACGGTAGCGATCTCACCGACGCCAATTTCCTTAGTCTGGTCAAGCAATTGCTGCATGTACTTGGCGGCACTCTTGGGATCGGTATCACGTCCATCACCGAAGAAGTGGATGAAGACTTGGGGGATCTCCATCTCCTTGGCAACCTTCAGCAGACCGACCAGGTGAGTGATGTTGGAGTGGACACCACCGTCGGAGACCAGACCCAACAGGTGCAGACGGCCGTTGCCCTCCTTAGCCCGCTTGAAGGAGGCGACGACGTTGTCGATCTTGTTGAGCTCACCCTTCTTCAGGGTCTGGTCGATGCGGACGCTGTCCTGCCAGACGACACGACCAGCACCGATGTTCAAGTGGCCAACCTCACTGTTGCCCATAAGACCTTCGGGCAATCCGACGGCGAGGGACGAGGCATCGAGTTCGGTGTAACCCTGGGCGGTCTTGGAATCGGCCTCGGCGAAGCCGGACATGAAGGGGGTCTCGGCGGCGAGGATGGCATCACCGTCCTTGCGGGAGTCGGGGCCGGCGACACCCCAGCCATCGATGACGACTGAGCAGAAGTGTTAGTCGAATGGATTTAGTATAGAGTGGTCAAGGGGAATGACTTACTCAAAGCGACCTTCTGATCAACCTTAACCATGGTGAAGTTGTGCTGAATGGAAATTGGCTGGTCAGCGAATTCAACGGCGGGGCAAAGGAAGGGTGGGTATAGTAGCGACGTATAGTTCCAAGCATCGTGATTGGGGAATGGGAAAAAGACATATACTTACTTGAATTTGGAGGAATAATTGGGAAGGGATAATAGAAAGAGGAATTGAAGCAAGGAGGGGAAAGAGAATCAAGAAAAAGAAAGAACGAAAGAGGAAGAAGAGTACTAGGTCGGTGGAGAGACCGGAGTGAAAAGGCTGGCCCGGTGAAAACAACTGGGTTGGGATGATGGATTGAGGGGGAGGGGCTTTTTCTTCCCGGTGACGCTTTGGGGTTGTTTTCTTCCCGACGTCACTTCCTCTGCTAACCGCTAAGTTAACTGCTCACTGCTCTGCTCAGCTTTGTCCTGCCGGTCTCGTCCGCCCGCAACAACAAAACTTACCTCCACGTTCCGGCTCTTCCCTAAACAATTACCCAGCAACCCGAAATAAGGGGCCCCATATTTCGTCTCTTGCTCAGTTCCCACTCCTGCTGCTGTCAGTCTTTCATACTGCAACGCAAGAATACACTAAGCCGACATTCGCCGTCCCGGTGTCCTCCCTCTTCCGATAATGGCGTTCAGATCCCCCACGGCCTTCACACCCGCAGCGAAACCACCACCCTCCGCGCCCGAAACCCCCATCGTGAAGGACACCCCCATTACACCTCAAGCGGTCCCATTCCCGCCCCCGCAGACTTTTGATATCATTCCGCCATTGCACGGTCTTCTGCTTCGCCTGCTTGCATCCCCCGGGACAGCTGGTAATGGTGTCAGGGCCGCCGAAGTCAACAGTGGAGGCTCGGGCCCGGTCGGACAACCCACAAGTGCTCCTGGCCAGTCTCACTCACAGCCTGGGAATGAAAGCCACGGCCACCCTGGAGTGCTGGTGACTGTTCCATCCACAGGACCTGGACCGGTTTCCGCCTCGGCCGAACTTGCAGCCTTGGGATCGAATGCACCCCCACCGCTCGACATCAAAGATCTCCCGACCGAAGTCAGTTCGATCAAGATCCGAATCCAGAAAGCGCAGACAGTGGTGGAGAATTTGCCAGATGTCGACCGCTCTGTTGCAGAGCAGGAGGCGGAGATCCAGGAGCTCGAGGACCGTATCGCAAAGCTCAAATTCGTCGTCTCTGATTTTGGCCGGAGAGCCAGTCCTCGGAGTGCGGGAAAGTCAAGAATCACTGAACCTTGAGGGCTCTGAGGGATAGAAAATATGGTCTGCCATGATTTCGGTCATCACCATGGGCGCAGGACGCTTCTTCTCGCAGGCGACTAGTATCAAGCATGCATACTTGGGCACGCTGGATCATCCAAGTGAATCATGTCGATTGTTGGGTTGGGTATTCCACAGATGCTGGTTTTAGTGGCCCAGTACACTGCAATGTAGCCTGATCATCGAACCCCTGGCTGTTGACACGGTCAATTGACTCAGAGTGTTGTTAATTGAAGGTCGCTGCGCTATGAAGAGGCCCGCGTACTCTACCTGAAGCCACAGCAATACAAGGCAATAAGTTGCCACTGCAGCTGTTCGAGAACTGCAGATACTTGAATAGTACTTACCACCATGGCCGTTCTGACCTTCACCACCTACGTTTGCCATGCTAGCAGCATGCTAGTGGCTGAGCAATGATTCACAGAAGCTGCTCTCAAAAAAGCTGCTCTTAAAAAAGCTGCTCTCAAGCAATCCTGCAGGTGGGAAGTGCTGTTCATTATGCTTGACAACCCCGCCTCTGGCCTCCACGGTCCTCATTCTGCATTAGGATGAAACCTGCAGATACATCAGGTGGAATTGATCTGCAAGGAAGGACTTTCGGAGTCATCATTGACCTGATGGCAGGCGAAGGGGTGGATTGAAGTTTCTTTTTGGGGCTTTGCGGGGAACGGACGTCTGCGTAAACCCAGAAAAACAGTTGATGAAGCATCTAAATTTTGGTGAATATTATCTCTACTTGTAAGGCTTGCTTGCGTGGCCTGGAATCCAGCTCCGGCTTTCGTATAGTCGGAAATAATGCACTACATATACGTAAACTGGTCCGATTAGTATCCATCGGGGATTGAATTGCTGGTGCTGCTTGCTTGCTCGGCGAGCAAGCTCCAGTGGATACTTTGCGACGGTGAGTCAGACCGTGGTTTTACTAGCAACCAATTTTTCTGGCGGTTTGGCGGTTGGGCGGTTTGGTTTGAATCTAGACAATTTATTTATTCGGAATGTCGTATTAAAGCACCAATCAAAGGAAAACGATGTGCAAGCTACATGATTGACTTTTGACAAAGAAAGGATTGAGGCAGGCGATGAATAATAGCGGCGACTAACAGCATAGAACAAACACTCCGTAACCCACGGAGGAGTCGGCGGGTTTTCTCAAGCACGGCTCCGATGTCGTTCCCGGACTTGCGACCGCCTCCGGATTTTTCTTAGTGGGAATTATTTTTTCTTTTGCCTCCCGTCCAGTTCGGACTGCGGGGCTCAAAGGAGGAAAGGAGGAAAGGAAACGTAGATTGGTCTGTGACCTCCGTCCTGAGGCAACTTTTTTCCCTTCCCGACCCAGTCCGCCGCATCTTCTTTCCCCCACCCCGCCAGATCTTCCTACTTCTTCTTCTACCTCTCCCCCCCCCCTCTCCTTCAATCTTCCTTTCTCTTTCTCTCTTTCCCTCCTCATCCCATCTTTTTTCTTTCCTCTATTCTCCTTCCTATCCCCTCCTCCATCTTCACATTACACACAATGGCCACCTACGCCCTCCCCCAGTCCCACCGGGACGTAAGTACTTCCCATGTCTCTGGAAAAGAACCAAAGCAGTTGACTGACTCATCGGTGCAGCAAATGGAGAAGTCTCTCGTCGAGTCCGATCCTGAGATCGCTCAGATCATGGTATGTCTAGCCTTCCAATTCCTCTTCAGTAACCAAGGATTAAGAACAATCCTAACATGAAAGTCTATAGGAGAAAGAAATCCAGCGTCAGCGTGAATCCATTGTCCTGATCGCCTCGGAGAACTTCACCTCCCACGCCGTCTTCAATGCCCTTGGCTCTCCCATGTCCAACAAGTACTCTGAGGGTTATCCCGGTGCCCGTTACTATGGTGGTAACCAGCACATCGATGCCATCGAGCTTACTTGCCAGGCTCGTGCCCTCAAGGCCTTCAACCTCGACTCCGAGAAGTGGGGTGTCAACGTGCAGTGCCTCAGTGGAAGCCCTGCCAACCTCCAGGTCTACCAGGCTCTCATGCGCCCCCACGACCGCCTCATGGGTCTCGACCTCCCCCACGGTGGTCACTTGAGTCACGGTTACCAGACTCCTGCCCGCAAGTACGTCTCCAAAGCTGTTTTAAGCTCCTTCAAGCTTTTTCTTGTCGATCTGAGTCAGCTGCTAACGTCTATCCTGCAGGATCTCCGCTGTCTCCACCTACTTCGAGACTTTCCCCTACCGTGTCAACCTTGAGACTGGTATCATTGACTACGATACCCTTGAGGCCAACGCCGAGCTCTACCGCCCCAAGGTCCTGGTCGCTGGTACCTCCGCTTACTGCCGTCTCATTGACTACGAGCGTATGCGCAAGATCGCCGACAAGGTTGGCGCCTACCTCGTTGTCGACATGGCTCACATCTCCGGTCTGATCGCCGCCGGTGTTATCCCCTCCCCCTTCGAGTACGCCGATGTCGTCACTACCACCACCCACAAGTCCCTCCGTGGTCCCCGTGGTGCCATGATCTTCTTCCGCAAGGGTGTCCGCAGCCACGACGCCAAGACCGGCAAGGACATCATGTACGACCTTGAGGGTCCCATCAACTTCTCCGTCTTCCCTGGTCACCAGGGTGGTCCCCACAACCACACCATCACTGCCCTTGCCGTTGCCCTCAAGCAGGCTGCTTCCCCTGAGTTCAAGCTCTACCAGGAGCAGGTCATCAAGAACGCCAAGGCCCTTGAGAATGAGTTCAAGGCTCTGGGCCACAAGCTCGTCTCTGACGGTACCGACAGCCACATGGTTCTCGTCGATCTCCGCCCCAAGAGCCTCGACGGTGCCCGTGTTGAGGCTGTCCTTGAGCAGATCAACATTGCCTGCAACAAGAACTCCATCCCCGGTGACAAGTCCGCTCTCACCCCCTGCGGTATCCGCATTGGTGCCCCCGCTATGACCACCCGTGGCATGTCCGAGGATGACTTCAAGCGCATTGCTCGCTACATTGACCAGTCCATCAACATCTGCAAGCAGGTCCAGAGCGAGCTGCCCCAGGGTGCCAACAAGCTCAAGGACTTCAAGGCCAAGGTTGCTTCCGAGACCGTCCCCGAGATCCTCGAGCTCCGCAAGGAGATTGCCCAGTGGGCCAGCACCTTCCCCCTCCCCGTCTAAGTGTGATCACTGCTCCGGGGTAGCCTTCAACAATATGATACCACATCTTCTTTTTATGATTTTGTTTGGGTTTTCGAGTTCAACATCTAGCCGGTGTGTCGTTTTATACAAGGGGTTTTATACAGGACTGCTTTTTCAACCTTACGCGGGTCATGGGACATGGATATGCATGAGCATGTGTGAATGATTTGAGAGAAAAAAATAAGCACCAGGATGCTTTCTTCAACACTTTCTTCAACAGGACCGGAAAAGTTCGTGGTTGGAAATCAAAGGCTTTAACCGCCTTGACTGAGTTTAGTATCATTATCAGATAACTCAGAGTTAATATTTCATGAAGTTCAACTTCTCACATGTGTTTTCATATCGTAGCAGTGGCAGTAGCGCTCTATCGGGTAGTTTATACGTAGTTCCAGTAATTTAGTGCCTTGGGGGTCCTTCTCATGCCATCCGCCAATCTGTGCTCTTTCTTTTGACCTATTCTCCAAGTCATGTCTACACCTCACAGCTCAACCTTCCCATCTTCAAATTGGCTGAACCCCATTGATCCCACAGCCGCCTCGGCCTTCTCCCTCTGTTCCTCCCACTCCTTCACCACCAAAGCCGCCACATTCTTCCCCATCAACGCACTCGTCTCCATCGTCGAGATGAAATTCTCAATGCCTCCGGTATACCATACGTGGGGCGCCAGCGCGATTTCCTCGAAGGTCACTCGCGGATAGACGAACGGATAAGGCCGCCAGACCTTTTCATGGAACCAACTGATGTCCTTGCTTGGGAGATCTTCGATGGACGAGGCGGTGGCAGTTTCTGGGGAATTCGCGAGCCCGAGAATCGAGCAGAGGAAGGTGGCAGTAGGGCGTTCGGGGGAGAAGATCTTATAGACGTAGTGCTCTTGCGGCCGCTGTGGTTGGTCGTCTTCGGATTCCGAAGGAGGAGGAACCACGGTGCGGAGGGTACTAATGCTCCAGAAGTCGGCGGGGCCGACGCCCTTTTCGGCTTTGCCTACGGTAGGATCGAGGTCGTGGGGGAGGGTGGTGAGGATGGTTTCGGGCGTGTTGGGGCCGGGGAGGTTGAAGTGGGCCGGCGAGAGGCGGTGCGGGGAGGAGAAGAGAGTTACGTGTAGTTTTACGAAGGGGACATCGTCGGGAGTGCTCTGGAGGGGTGGGGTGGTGGTGATGTCGGTGAACTGGAAAGGGGCGGCGATGACGATTTCATCGAATTCTTCTCCTTCGGTCTGAGCTGAAGAAGAGGTGCTGCTGGCCTTGAATGTGAGGCTAGTGGGACGGTGTTGCGGGCCTTGGGCGTCCCAGTTGATGGATGTGACGGTGTGATTCACACGCACGTCGGCCCCGGCGGCCTTGAGCATGCCGTCGAAGATCTGCCAGTTGCCGCCTTCAATGGCCATGGCGCCGTCGGTGGCGAGGCAGACCATCGTCTCGAGGCCGTGGATGAGGCCTAGGTTCTGTCCGTAGTTGACGCGCGTGCTGGCTTGGACGATCTCGCGGGAGAAGAGATCGGAGATGCGGTTGAGTCGCAGGAACTCCAACCCGGGCACGGCGACGGTGTTCAGGAGCCCAACGGCCTCGGTGGCTTGGGTGAGGGACCGGAACGGGAACATGGGCCCGTCGTAGAGTTGCAGGAACTTGTTGACGGTCGACTTCATCAGTCGGTAGGCGTTGACTGGTGCCAATCCATATCGCCAAAGCAATTTGGCAAGGTTCCACCAGCCAGAGGTGTCTTTGAACACGAACACCATCTGGTCCCCGTCCCAGATGCCAATGGTGTCGTCGGTCTCGCGGGGTCGCTCATAGCTGGCGCTCCGGGCGTTTAGGCCCAGGTCTCTGGTTGCATTCACCAGATTGTAGTTGACGCTGACAAAGATCGAGGCCCCCAGTTCAATCGGGTAGGCTGGGTGGTCGAAGACATTGACCGTGGTGGAGCGGCCTCCAACATACGAAGAGCGCTCGAACACAGTGATGTTAACGGGGACATGTTGGGCATCAGCGTACTTGCGGAGAGAATATGCAGCTGATGATCCTGCAGCTCCAGCTCCTGTCTAGGATGTCAGTCATCAAAGCTTGGATTGCAATGGAGTATGGTAGTAGTTACCGATGACCGCGACTTTCTTGGGAGCTATCTCTCCGAACGAGCTCAAGGGTTGCTGTTTAGCGGCATTGCTGCCAGGAATGACGCATAGAATGAACAGATAGTGTATAAGCTGAGTATATAGGAGGTAAACAAATGATGGACGCTTAGGATAGGAATTCATGATAGCAAGTTTCTTAAATGGATTAGAGTAGAGATGGGCTCCGTGCTTGCACAAGGGGACCAAATCCCTCGATGATGATATTGTGACGCTTCGAGGGCAGACAGAGGTATGCACTTTTCTACTCAGTAACAGACACATACAAACTCAAGGCAGGATATTATACGCGAACAGAAGTGATGAGAGACATCTGAGCAAGTGACGGAAAGACGGATTGAGAGAACAGAAGAGGTAGGCTGTAGTTACACTGAGGTCCGTCGGTGATGCATCGAGCCATATCACAGGCGCTAATCCCGACTAGGCTAAGGTTCCTGGGGCCGGGCCTCTATCGCTTATCGCTTTTCTACCGGCTTTTTTTTCCCAGCTGCCCAAAAATCATCGCATCGCTCAATTGCCTCGTACACGACACTCGATCCATTGCATTGTGCTCGAAGCCAATTGCACGTACTCGTTACGACCGCGCATATCACTCCAATCACATATTGTTGGATTTGACCGGCTTGACCCACCGATCATGGACCCCTATGACAGCGACTCATCTTTCGACGATGAGGGGGACTTCACCGAGACCGGCGTGCTCTTGGGTTACGCAGCAGACGAGATTCTAGAAGACTCAATCAGTCACCTTGGCGGAACTCCGGTACATCTCCTATGCCACCGTTTCACATAAATTCATCTCATCTACAAGAAGAAGTTCACTGACGAGTCTCATTGCCCCAGACCTGGCTTGACGACGCTACCCCGCCTCCTGGCGAATTCGCTAAATGCAAAGTCTGCAACTCGCCCATGTCCCTCCTCCTCGAACTGCACGGTGATCTCCCCGACGACTTCCCCGACGACGAGCGACGTCTGTACATCTTCGCCTGTCCCAGAAAACCCTGCAACCGCAAACCCGGCAGTATCAGAGCTCTGCGCGCTACCCGCAAGCTGAAAAGCGAACTGCCCCGATCCGCGCAAGAACAGAAAGAAGTGGAGGAGATCCCAACCGAAGCCCCCAAGGAAGAGGAGAAGACGAAGAACGAGGCTCCCAAACCGGATCTCGGCGCAAGTCTATTCGGATCCTCCTCCCTGATAGGCAGTGTCTCCGCCAACGCCAACCCTTTCTCCTCCGGCGGAGCTGGTGCAAGTAGCAACCCATTCTCCAGCGGCAGCAACAACACCAACAGCAACCCGTTCGCCGCACCCGCCCCATCTCCAGGTCTAGTCGCCAAACCCTCCACCCCAGCATCGACGACCGCCAACACTCTCTCCGACTCCTTCGCCGACAAAGTCCGCGTCTCCTCCCCACCTCCACCGCCCGCCGCATCATTCAAGACCATCACACCCCCCGAGGAGACCTCCGGCCCCGTCACCCCGTGGCCCGCCGAATCCGACTTCCCCGCCCCGTACCCGCGGTTCTACCTCGATGCCGAGTACGAGACCCTCTCGCGGCCCTCGACGCCCACGATCCCAGACAACGTAACGATCGACAACAGCGAGGAGGCCGGCAGCAGCGGGGGCGCCGACCTCAAGGACGCCTTCGAGTCCGAACTGGACAAGGCCTTCATGCGCTTCTCCACCCGGCTGGGTCACAACCCGGAGCAGATCCTCCGGTACCAGTTCCGCGGCAACCCCTTGCTCTACTCGCACACGGACGCCATCGGCAAGCGCCTGCACGAGGTCCTCGCGCACAAGCCCGCCAACGCGCACATCGCCACCACCACCACGACGGGGGGCCAGGGCCCGTCCGTCTCCAGCCGCATCCCGCGCTGCGAGTACTGCGGCAGCGAGCGCGTGTTCGAGTTCCAGCTCGTCCCGCACGCCATCAGTGTGCTCGAGGACGGCCGGGAGGGCGTCGGTCTCGGGGACGCCGGGATGGAATGGGGCACGATCATGCTGGCCGTGTGTGGCCGGGATTGTGGACCGAAGGAGGTCGGGGTCGTGGGCTATCGTGAGGAGTGGGCCGGTGTGCAGTGGGAGGAGGCGGCGAAATAGATGGATTGATTGACCGATTGATTCCGCTCTACTCTTTTTTGCATCCCCTTCCTCAATGGGGGAAAAAGACAATAAGGGTGGGAGGCCCAGAATCCGAACCTACCTACTAACGCTTTACCCATGATTAATTTGATGTTGATGATGACCATTTATACATACATACTCTACCATGTTCATAGACGCCATTGAGCTTTTTAGGTTTCATGGGAAATTCAAAAGTTTATCCAATCATACATGCATCCACATTCCAATGGTTATTGAGGCAGCGCGGCAGACAATGCTACTGAATTACACTTATTTGAATTTTGAAGTGGTTCCTTTTTTTTTTCCTCGCCCTCTTGTTCCTTCTGCCTTACAGTAGAAAAAAAAGGATATCTTGGGAGTAAGAACTGAGAGCATGGAAAGGCACCGTTGCAGCAGGCGACACATTCATCTGGATGTAGATGACGAAGATGGTAATCAACAAACGCAAAGCAGCGAACCAAAACTCGAAACGCCGATTGCGCCAGGTTCCTGACTTCCCAGTCCCCCCGTCTCTTTCTAATCCCTACATGTTGGTCTAACCCTCTCCGATTTTCTTCCCCATGGGGTTCATCATCATCTTATTTTGGGAGCTTCATGACTCATAAGTCATAGGTGAAGTTCGGATCATGCCTGTCCCGGTTTTTCCTTCTTCCTTCTTTCCTCTCGGTACACCTTTCACAGATGGAACAGAGGAAGAGTGGGAGAAGAAATGAGACGTTGAAAAGGATCAACGGGGCTAGATCGAGAGCCCCGGATCAACCTCAAGGCACAAGGAGAAACGTAAGTAAAAAAAAAAAGTATTAGCAAGAATGTGAAGGGTGGAAGAAGCGGTCCAGGAGAGAAACGAGATTCGAATAAGACGTCAAGGTTGCGATTTTGGTTGGTTCGAAAGGGGGAAAATCCGATGCAAATCCTCGAAATAATTATATTTGAGGACTTTCCGCTCATGCGGCCTGCTCGAAACCTCTGCGGATGACACGACCGAACATATCCACACCCACACGCTCGCTCTTGACCTCGCTGCGGGCCTCGTTCTCCTTGTTGGTGGGCACCTTGATGACGGCACCGTCGACCTCCCAGCTGCAGACCTCGGCGACGAACTTCTCGAGGGCCTCACGGCTGCGGAGGTCGAGCCACTGCTCCAGAACCTCGGCGTTGACCTCACGGAAGGCCTTACCGACCTCGACGGCGATGCGGATGCGGACAAGCTCCTCGAATCCGGCGACGTCGGCGACCAGATCGGCGTACAGGTCGTCGGAGTTCAGGGTGGACCAGAACTGGGCGTACTGGGCAGACTCCAGGAGGGTAGACAGACGGGCGAGCTTCTGGACGGACTCAACGAAGTCGGAGGTCTGGGCGGCGGCTTGGGCTTCGGGGTTGGAGGACTGGAAGGGCTGAGTGTGGGCGGGGAGCAGAGCAAGGCAGAGGGAGAAAGCGGGAGAAGGGAAGACGGTGAGAGCCTTGACGAGGATGTTGGTGACAGTCTCGGGCTGGAGAAGGTGAGGGTTGAACTGGTAGCTGTTGGGAATCAAAGACAATTCAAGGAACGTGTTAGCTACCGTCAAAACTTAGAGCGGGGAGCGATGCAGTGTGCGACGAATAGAAGCTTGGGTGGCTTTCATTTTCAGGAGAATTGAGATCTCGACATGCCCCATGATAGGGTGTCAGGTAATAGGAAACGTGATTGTAAATGAGATTTTCTTCATCATATAAAAACCATTTATTCTTATCCCCGCGTCGGAGCGCTTGGTTCTCGGGAAGGAGGTGCAGTGTGTAGGATGATAGGCGCATGAGCGAAGAAGGGACAGACACTCACAGCTTCAGCAGGGCCAGGTTGGCATAGCAATCGAAAGTGCGGTCCTCGCACTGCTGGGCGACGTAGTCCTGGAATACCGTGGTCGTCTCCGGGTTGTATCTGTCGAGGCCGTTGAGGATGGCATCGATGTTGGCCGGGCGGGTCTCGCACTTGTCGAAGGTGACACCCATTTTGACGAAACAGAGGCTTTTGGGGGGGTATTAGAGGTGGGAAGGAGGGGGGGGTGAAGAAGGTGGAGTTGGAGAGGGGTATGAGAAAGTTGGAAAGCGCGGGATTGAATCTGGCCTGGCTGGTGTGGCTTCCCTCTGCCCGTCGGTTTTTTGGTGGGTTTTTCGTGATTGTCTCGCTGTGCGGCGGGCATGCCTTCGGAAAGACGCCGAGAGCGGATAGTTTCTCCGACGAAGCAAGCATATGCGCTGTACAACCATACCCTTTGACGAGTGTAACATATGGCATACAAGGCACGACATGACGCTGAACCGGCTACGTAGTGCCCCAGAAAGGCCAAAAAAAGAACGATTGGCAAAAAATCGATTGTTACAACAGCATCGTGGCCAAGGTACAAGGACAAAAAGTTATTGACAAGAGTGGGATTCGAACCCACGCTCTTTCGAACTAGTGTTTCGGAAATTCCTAAAACTAGCGCCTTAGACCACTCGGCCATCTTGCCATTTGTATATGTCGGGACACGGCTAGGTGTTACATAATAAGAAAAAAATGGACATTGTTCTTTCACCATAGCTTCAATAAAGACAATAGACCATTTACCTGGACCATTCTTACATATTTGGCTCCATGACTGTTCAATCAATCGTAGTGCTGTTTGAGACTAATAAGACCGACCGAATGAGCACAGTTAAGGCGGTTGTAATGAGGTAGGCGGCACCTGGTCATAACATATAAATACTACCGGTCAACAAGGGCCTGCCCGGTAACCGTCTGTGAACAATGCAGTAGTACACTGTGCGGTAGGACTCAGAGTAGACACTCCTTTTATCATCAATGGCTGGCTACCATGTATAACCCACCAGTAGCAACGGGATAAGAAACATATCACCACCACGCCACTGTTCGTCGCCCCTTAATCAGTGGTCTGACTGGAATACCCGGGCTCCGGCAGTAGGGAATTCCCGCGGTAGGGAATCGCCGTGTAGGGAATCACCGAAAAGTACCAGGTAGGTAAACCCCGTATATAAATCAAAGAGTAACCTAGATTGCAAAGCCTATCCTGCAGGAGCTCCCCCATGTGCCCAAACTCAATATTACTACCTGCAAGGAACGAGATTTGACTGATTCGTCCTATAAAGCAACAGCACCGCACCATCCACTCTGTCTGGTGTGAGCCAGCCCTAAACTCGACCAAGCACATCGACAACAACAATCGCCAGTATGGACGTTCTGCTTGATATCCTCGACACTTTCGTCTTCGATCGGGTCTATGCCTCAGTGCTTCCGAGCTATGAGATGTATCCGGGCAATGCGACCATGGAGACTCAATTCCTCTACAACCAGCACATTGGCCTTTACTATCCACTGCAAGCGTCCCAGTATGCCAATGCGAGCCGGTGGAAGCGGGACCATCTCCCAAGACAGGCCCTGTCATTATTCTTCACCATGTGGTATGTTGTTCTCTACTTAGGCTTTATCGTATACAGTAGCTAAGTAAGATGTCCATGAAGGATATTCGGTGTTCTCATGTACCTCATTGGCAGCACGATCCTGTACCACACCGTTTTCGACAAGTCTCTGATGAAGCATCCACGAATCCTGCACCAGCAGATCCGACAGGAGATCAAGCAGGGACTATTTGCCATGCCTGTTATGTCCATCCTCACTGTTCCATTCTTCCTGCTGGAAGTCCGTGGATGGTCCAAGCTATATGACTTCGCGAGCCAGGAGCCCTTCCCTGGATATTCGTATCTTCAATACCCGCTTTTCATCTTCTTCACGGACACGGGAATCTACTGGATCCACAGATGGGAGCATCATCCCTCCGTCTATCGTTTCTTGCACAAAAAGCACCACAAGTGGGTCGTGCCGACACCGTACGCCAGCTATGCGTTCAACCCTTTCGATGGCTGGGCCCAGAGTCTGCCCTACCACATCTTCCCAATGCTGTTCCCTCTGCAGAAGTGCGCTTACCTGGGACTGTTTGTATTCGTAACTATGTGGACCCTCGCAATCCGTACGCGCCCCTCTCTTCCCTTGTTGTTAACTGCCACGATCACAACTGACAACCCGATTAGACGATGCCGAATGCCTCTCGCGTTCTGCAGTGATCAACGGACCCGAGTGTCATACGCTGCATCATCTGTACTTCAACTATAATTATGGGCAATTCACCACGTTCTGGGACCGCTTGGGTGGCACATATCGCAAAGCCAAGGGCGACGAATTGAAGCATAAGAACGAGTAAGAGATATGATGTCGCATAGATGGTCCAAAGGAGCTGGATTTCAAACCATCAAGGCGTGTTCGGTATGTGTTAGCTTTATTGTATGCTGTACATAGATGTATGATATGAGCACTGTAATAATCAATATGAACACCGTGATTCAATCAAGGTGTTCCTTCTTCCGCCGCAACGTTATGAATAAACTCGTTCAGCTTGCCCAAGTCGTCAGTAGCTGCGGTGTCTAGGTAGCGAAGACTCTTGTCCCGGCCAGCGGTACGGTCGAGCGTAGCATTTAGAAGCCACCAAAGCTCTTCTGCATGTTTGGGATAACCCAGACTCTGTGTCTTCTCTTTGTCAACAATGTCACCAATTGAATCCCAGATTCGCTTCCAATTATCTGCAGCGAGCTTGATAGCGTTTGGTGAAATCCATCCGAGTAAGCCGGTCCTTGCCTGAAACGCCAGGGAGTGCATCGCTGTTTCCACTTTCTATTAGCGAGACTGTCATCTCAAGGGGCCAACCAAGCGTTACGCATACCGTACATCAACAGTAGCAGGTGTTCTGCTACAAGTGACCGACTCCATGTGACCAAATCACCGATGTCCGTGTCGAGTAGACGGGTGATAAACTGTCTTATAGTTGGAAGTGAGGGCCGTGCTCCATTAGTCGAAGCTACAAGCTCATTGAATGCAGATGTACTTTCGGCCTCGAACAGTGTAGAGTCCCAGGGAAAGTCACAATCCATCTCGAAGATAGACAATGCAGGATGGTTGTTAAAACAGACCGTGAGAAATCCGTCCGCGAGGAAAGCCCAACAGGAAACCCTGACAGTGTCTCAATAAATGTCTTTGACAGTGACCTTTATTATAGGTACTTACCGTACAAGGACCTCCTCCGCTATGCGTTTCCTCCAAGTGAGCTCATCGCAGATTTGGGGAGTTGTACTTCGTTTGTATTGGAAAATGCCTATTGATCGTATCAAGGAGATAACACACGGATGTCTCATGATCCGGATGCGCCGTCTTGTTTGCATACCCCCCTGTCCAAACTGAAGCATCTCGATTATCAGGGCTGCTTGAACAATTTCGAGTTCTGGGAAGAATTGAGAGAGTTGGCTGGTATGGATTGATGCTGTCGACAAATTTGCCACACGTCGAAAGATATACTCCTCGACTACGTCGAGCAGCCCAGGTGGCACGACAGTTCCATCTTGAGAAGTCGCGTATATTGCTCCGGCCAAGAAAATTGAGATAAGGAGGGAGTTTGACACATTTCCAGGGTCAAATGTTGGGAAATGTACAATCGGCAGATGCCAGTGAAGGGATTGGAAGTAAGCCGAGATGAAAATTGAAAGATTGGAAGTTGTAAACAGCGGAATTAAGCTAGAGATATCAAGCGGCCTATTCAGGCCTTCACTATCATGGCCCATAGAGTTTGAAGTTTCCACCAGCTCTACCATCAGGTCGTTCAATTGCCTGGCGAGCCGCGAAGACAAGGCGCCTTCAGAGGGGAGATCCAGGATGGGATACTGGTTTGCTAGGAAAGAAGGCTGAAAGAACATATCTGCAGTTGCAGAAGAGCTCATAAAAGACTGCATGGCGTAGAACGGGCTGAGTGCATCTTCGAGGTTTAGATGGAGGGCATCGAGGTTCCTTTTGGTAGAGCTTTTTGCTGTTTCTGCGATTGCAAGCTTGTCCTTCACCACAGCTGGATCAGTAAAGTGAGAAAGAAAGAAGAACGACCTCCTGCTTGCGAGTGAATTGTGCGAGAATGCTGGTGAAGGTGGGACAGATGTCAAGCAGAGAGTTGTAGGCGAAGATGTCACACTTCCGAAAGAACACTGCCGACCCAAGGCTTTACAGCGAGAACATGGTGAGTTCTTGTCGCAGGCTGTTTTGGCATGGGTACACTCATCACAGGAGCGTTTCTTCCGGCCGGGCTTAGACGCTGGCGGTGAGGGTCTATTGTACTTCCTTGCACAAATCTTACTATGTCGTCGTGCGACCTCCCTAAATCCTGTCAGACTAACCCATCGATGAGGAAGGGGCCCGGCAAGAACGTGAGCTTACTGCTTTTGAAAGGCCTTATTGCAAATGGGACATATCGAAGAGAAAGATTCAGTAGTATCTGGACTTGTTAGCCTCTATGCCTCGGAAACCCCCGGCTCTGAAGGGGAAGAGCAGTGCGTACGCGTCGCCTCATGCCGAAGCAGGTGACTCTTTCTCTGATAGGACTTGTCGCAATGAGAGCACTGAAACATGGCGTAAATGCTACTGGAGGGATTCGAGTGCTACATAGTCATCGATAAAATGATTGAAGATCATGAAGACCAGTTTGTTTGCGAAAGGGGGACGAAATTCGGATTCGATCCCGGCTGGGAAGGCAGCCGCCGTGATCAGCTTAGTCATCCGCTTAAGCCAACCAAGTAACTATAGGCAAGTAAATAGCCTCTCAAGTTAAGTGTTGAGTACGGAGTATAAGCTTCACATCTCGAACTCAGCTTATGGGGAATGGGCCGCGAGAGCATGTCATCTGGTCGAGCATAGGAAAGCGAGTTACATCGTCTTTTCCTTCCAAAGGGTGAAGTCCGGGGCGGAAGATGATTTCCATAAGCAGCAGTACAAACTACCACGAGACCTTCCAAATGCCCAAGTACGATTATTGGTACTTTGAAAGAGCCCAGAAGGTGACTAGGTTTAGTATGTGTGTGTATGTGTGTGTCAAATATTAAATCCTTGCTTCACTAATCAAAATGCGGGGAAGAAAACACAACACGACACACTTTCGCTCTTCATTCCGACTGTGCCAGTCTAAAGCAAGCAAGCATCATCTTGATCTCAGTGGCCAGTCGCTGCAGCACGTCAGGGATAAAATGCAGGCATCTCCGCGTGAATCGCCTGCATTCCCCTCCCCGGCGGGGGATAAAATTGGCGGGCAGCTCTTCTTTTACCCCAGTGAATTTCCCCTCTTTCCTGCCCCATGTTCATTCTCTCCAAAATCGTTTAGAAGCTACTCAGCATACTCAGTATGCAGTCACTTTACTTGCCCACCTGCCATCGCTTGTTAGCTTTGCTATCTGTCCTGGTGCCGGCGATTGCTTCTATCCAGGAAGATTACTCCCAATATGTGAATGCCCTAATGGGTTCGGAAGGACCCTTTCCAGGCAAAGGCTATGGAGGAGGCAATATTTTCGTGGGGGGAGCGCGGCCTTTCGGCGTGGCAAAGGTAGGTATCGACACTACGGCTGCAAACTGGAGCCTGGCGGTCCTCAATGGGGGTTGGACGCCAGATGGAAACGTCACGGCGATCAGTAGGTGAACGTGACCACTCAACCAAAAGTCCTCGATTGTTGACTAGCATTTCACCATTTCTTCAGCCATGATGCATGAAAGTGGTACTGGAGGCGCACCAAAATATGGAATAATTCCCCAGATGCCGCTCACAGATATTGCGCCCCCGGTGAATCTGCTCGACAATTTGACCTACTCCCAGCCTAGGGTATGCCGTCCGAGAGAAACGAAACTCATCGACCTGGACTCATAATCTCTGTAGATCGGTAATGATACAGCCAGCGTGGGCTACTTTGCAACAAGATTGCAGAACGGCGTTCAGGTCGAGCTCTCGGCCTCTCGCCATGCTGGAATCATCCAGTATAGCTTCCCCGAGGGCGAAAAGCATGTACTGGTCGATCTTTCCCATGTATGACATCTACAATGCCGGTAGCTTCGAGGTGCTGCAGCGCTAACATTTACCTAAGTATCTTCCCGGGTCACCCAATGATCCCAATGGTCAGTTCTACGTTGCCGGCGAGATCCAATTGAAGGATGAGGGACGGGCTTACACTGGCTATGGGACGTATATGGGTGGCTGGAACAACGGTGAGTGCCAGCCTGCGACAATACTATATCTTCGGAGAGCCTGATTGGGTACCAGGCGCGCCGTTCACAGTCTACTTCTACGGAAAATTCTCTATAGCCCCAGAGACAGCGCGCACCTTCGCAGGGAGGAATACCGAGCCGATGCCGCGTTATCAGAGCTTCGCCAACGGTGGCATCAGTCAGCCAGTATACGGTAATTTGACTGATAAGAAAACCACATCAGGACCCATGAATGATCGCATCGGGGCGCTCTTCAGTTGGAACACTACTTCAAGCGCTCAAATTATTTCCAGGGTTGGTGTATCCTTCATCTCCGAAGAAAAGGCCCGTGCCTACCTTGAATCAGAGATTCCATCCTGGGACTTGAATGACACGGTGCAGTCGGCTGTGGAAGAATGGAACCGAGATGTTTTCAGCAAGACTCGGGTTGCATTGGACGAAACAGCGAATATGACGCAGGTGCGGCTGCTCTACAGTTCTCTCTACTTCATGCATCTGATGCCGTCCGATCGGACCGGCGAGAATCCTCTCTGGCAGTCGGATGAGCCATTCTGGGACGACTTTTATACAATGTGTCAGTATGAAGAACAATTGAATTCAATACTGTTGTTGATGTATACGATTAGGGGACATTTTCCGCTGCACGATTAGTTACTACCATATATATCAACCTGACTACCATGAGTCAATGATTCGGGGTCTGATCGATATATGGAGGTATGATCCCTGGATATGAGCAGGGCCAAAGAAGAGTGATACTCATAATTTCCTCGTCCCCAAGACACCAAGGTTTCCTGCCAGATGGACGCTCAGGAAACTGGAATGGACTGGTCCAAGGCGGCTCCAATGCCGATAATGTGTTAGCGGATGCCTACGTCAAGGGCCTTCGCGGAGCGATCAACTGGACCGACGGCTATGCCGCCATGAAGACCGACGCGGAGGTGATTCCATACAACACATGGGACCCCACAGACCCCTCGGCCAGCACCAAAGAGGGGCGCGGCGCCCTGGGCGATTGGCTCGAGCTTGGATATGTCTCACAAGATCGTAACACAAGATGTATTTCCAGAACCGTTGAGTACAGCCTTAATGATTTTGCGCTGAGCCAAGTCGCCTCGGGAGAGATGCCTAGTGACCAAGAGAAGTATCTGAATCGGTCCGCTGGATGGCAGAATATATGGAATCCGGATGTTTCTAGTCTGAACTTCACAGGATTTCTGGCACCTAGGTTCTCAAACGGCACGTTCAACAGCAGCACATATGATCCCCGCTACTGTGACAAGTGCGAGTGGCTGGACTATACATATGAAGCCGTGCCTTGGGGTGAGTGACATCCATGGTATGATAGAATGTCTACTCACACACCGAATGTCTAGAATACTCTTTTGTCATTCCTCATGACATGGAGACCCTGGTTGATCTAATGGGAGGCGTGGACACGTTCGAATCCCGACTTGATCTCATGGTAAGATTTCCCCGCCGCAGGGGGACCCTAGCTAACTGAGGAGTTTGCGCCAAATATGTCCGTTCAAAGCCTCGGGCCGAATGGAGCTGGAATCACGACAATCATTAACATAGGGTACACACCCCTTTGCGAATTGACAACGAAGTGAGACTAATGACCGTGGATAAGTAACGAGCCTGACTTCGCCACGCCTTACCTATACAATTACATCAACAAGCAAGCAAAAAGCGTTCAGAGATCGAGGGGCCTCGGATACCAATAGTGAGTACCACGAAATGAGACTTCCCAAAGAGTACGATTGATCAAACGTCCATGTAGTTTCAACGACGCACTCTACGGAGTCCCCGGCAACAGTGATGCAGGGGCAATGAATTCATGGCTTTTGTGGCAGATGCTGGGGATCTACCCGGTGGTCACCCAGCCAGTGTACCTGATTGCCTCGCCCTGGTTCCCGGATCTCAACATGACCATCAACGGCAACCAGACGCTTCGGATTATCGCAAATGGGCTGGACCAGGGCTATTATGTGCAAAGCGTGAAAATCAACGGACAGATCTGGACGAAGAACTGGTTCGAGCACGAGGATCTCATGGCACGTGGGGGCACGATCGAGTTCGAGCTGGGGCCCAACATGACGGCTTGGGAGACCGGCAGTGTGCCCCCTTCCCCGGGACATAGGAGATTGTGAGCCAGTTTCCTCTGCATCGGCTACCTCACAAGCCACATACCAGAGTTCGTGTTGGTGCTATTTTTGGAACGCACCCAAGCCATGTCATTTTGTGTACCGTAGAAAAGACATCAACCACAAGCATTGACTAGGGATTGCTGGCGCGCCTGGTAAAGTGTTTTTTTATTGCTAAGTGGGGTTCAGGATAGATTCCCGAAATGATAGTAAACCACTAGCCTCCTATTGCTTTAATGAATCCGAACTCGAAATAGACAGTCGATCTGCATTAGAACCAAGACTGTGCAACGCACAACTACATCGAGAGCAAAGCACACACACAGACATTGTAGTCGAGCATCTCAACGACACCGGCTTGAAGTCCACTTTTCCGCAGATGCGGGGAAATCACCAAAGAAAAGAACGAGATTCAAGCCCCTCCGTCTGCGCGATTTTCATGCAAAGTCAGTCCTCAAAAACAAGGCTCAAAGCACCCGGCATTACATATGAGTTTCCTATGTAGTAGTTAGTCGGTAGTTGGACCAATAACGCGAAGCGAACTATCCCGCGGTATCCCCATCACACCCAACACGTGAAACCCGTAAGCTCATTCATGCGCGCAAGACACTTCGCAGTGCGCAATGCTTACACACTTGATCCATTGATTCTATTGGCAGGCGCCCCGAAGGAAAAGCCATCCGCTCATCAAGATCAGAAAGCCAAGCCGAAGTTTATGAGAGGAGGGGAGGGGGGGGGTTTGGTGTAGGAGGGGATCCAAGGCAAAAGACGTACGGTTGACGTCAATGGGAACACCAGCCCAGCCGCAGCGGGAAAGTATGGACAAGAAGGTGAAGAGACAAAGATGATGATGATGATAATATATGGTTCCAATCCCACCCCCTCTTCTTATTTTCCCTGTTAGTTGACTTTCTTTCGGTTGTGCTTGCATTGAGGGGGGCCACAACGAGATCGATTTCTGATATCAATTGTGCAGCACGGTACTCCGTACAGAGTACATTGAAACCAACCACCACACACACCCATGGTAAGTCGAGTCTCGTTGTTCCGTGGATCTGTTCGCGCGGGCGGGCCGAGTCCGAGTCTCCCGTGAAAGAAATGAGGAAAATTGACACCTGATTTTTTTTCTCCCTTCCCTCAGGCGCCAATCCACCTTTTCCAGAGTCGGGATGACTCCAATTGCCCCAATTCCATCTCCGGGGGTGGCATCGCCGGTATCGTTCTCGGCACGATGGCAGGAACCCTGCTGCTCCTCTGGCTCTGGAAGCTTTGTGCCATGAATCATGAGATGGAGAGCGAGCCCGACTACGGGGAGACCAATTTGCCTACCAACCGAGCGCGCCATCGCCACCGGCAGCGACGGAGCCCGTCATACTACTATGTGGAGAAACCGAGGAGCTCGGTGAGGAGGCCAGCGAAAGTCTATCTCAATTGATAGGGTGTGGATGAGGAATGGAAGGAATTGGGAGGGATAGAAGGATGGAAGTAGGGGAAGCTGGGGGGGGCGGGGGCGGTTAATGTGTTTGTCGAGTTTCGAATCACGTATGGTTACGATGGATGTACATGTCGATATGACCTTTATGCTATAATAATACCCTGGATGAATCATACTATAGACTGTCCGACACGAAAGACTTATGATAATGATCGGATGACTGACTGATTGATCTATCGATGATTCATGTACGCATACAACAGCCATTTCCACGAGTCTTAGTAGCCGGTTATAATCCTTTGACGATTCCTACCAGGAAAGATCATGATCAGTTGATCTGCAAAATTGTGGTGCTCTTGGTTCTCTTGCCAAGTGGGAACGGTTCCATCCTTTCCATTTTTATCCTTCTTGGTCGTTATGCAATGTCTATTTGCCTATCCGCGAAAGTGGGGTGAACTGGCACTGGAAATTAGACTGGCCAGCGCCGAGCATGTTCGTGTCGAAGTCGCATCTAATATGCTCATCTGTAGGCAGTGACATTTATAGATTAACCTGTCAAAGATTGTCCATTGGGAGGTCTGCAGAGACCTTCACACAGAGTACGGAGTAGCAGGCATGGCTTGGCACGATACCGGCTACACGACCTCTCCATGTTTCGAATCTATCTGCAGTTGTGCTCCCTTACCTTGGCTCTGGGAGACTCGCGCAGACCGTTGGCTGCGGAGAGTTGAGAGGGGGTGGGGGAATCGAATGTTTGTGCGGTTGGAAAATACAATCTCCAACCAAGTTGACAATTCTACCCTTGTTGCCCCCCCTTTTCCCCCTCACGGCGTTACAATCCCGATATCTGCTGGTAGGACTGAGTTTGCCGCAAACCTACTCCGTACCTCTCTCTCTACATGACTTGCCACCAGCCAATTAGCAGATCCAAGTGAACTGCCACGGCACTGACCCTCTGTGCTGTGCTGAGACCAAGAATGGATCCTCACCAGGCGGTGCCAGAATTAGTCAGGAAGAGTGAAAATCCATGCCTTTAGCTGTGCTTGTTTGTTTGATTGTCCCTCGGGAACCGTGGAGTATATGTGCCTCAAGGTGGGTGGGTGGAACGCAAGGTCATTCGATGGGCAATTGCAGAGGAGTTCGGCAGTGGCTGCAGGTACGATACATGAAGCAACCCGAAAGTGGCGGTGCCATTGGCTCTTTCTGGGTAGCAAGGAGCACTCACAGCTTCATCATGGATACCTTACTCATACATAAGTATCATTCCTGGTCGATGATCGCTCAATTAACTCCTTTGAAGCTGCTTTACCGGTGCGCTTATCATTTCAATCAGTTTGAAATCTTCCCTTACCCAGCCAGCAGTTCTCACGGGCACTGTGGACTCATCCCCGAGTTGCTGTTAGTAGTTTGTCGGGTGTTTGAAAGTGAACCCCTTGTTCCCCTGAGGCAGAACCCTGATTGGTGTACGGATCTATCCTCGGCCTTATTCGACCCAATCATGTTGGTCCTTGGAACCATCCGAGCCCTTCAGTGGTCGTGGAGACAGCACTATTCCCTATTAGGACTAAAATCAGGGCCAGGGACCACGCTAGCCAGCCGAACCAGGGTAGACTTGTGGCATACCAGGCTATTTCAGGACTAGTCTCCCTTCATGAGTCGGGTGGTTTCCTGTTTGGAGCAGCCCCTGAAATGATTAGGGCCAAAAACTAGTGACATCGACTGCAGACTCGCAGCTTGGATGAGAGACATGCACCTTGTCCGTGTCTCCAATTCGGGTTTAAAAAAAGAATAACTTATAATTCTAACTATTATGATCGAACAAGAAAAGAGAGCGAGGGGGGAAAAAAAAGGAAGGGTTAAAAAAAAAAAAAACTAGTCATTGTGGTTGGGGTCAACCTAGTATCTACGGAGTAGTAAATTAAAGGAAAATGCTCTCGCCGTCATGTCTCTTTTTCTTCCCCTCTCCTCCGTCCGTTCTTCCTCCGCATCAGTTCCATCCCTCTTTCCTCTCATCCCTTCTTGTGGGTGCTTTTCAACCTCCTCGTGCGACTCGATCGCGCTGCCATTCTTTTGAGACTTGAATCTTCCTCTCTCTCTTCCTCTTCCCCACGCTTCCGGTCTCACTCCTTACGGACCGTTAGAGGAATTGATCTCAAACACTCGTCCCCCCCCCCGGTGCACTGCCAGGAAACGCCCCTTTATCGCACCTTATCTTGCCAGGAAGCAAGCGTGTGTGACCCGCAGTTGTCCTGACTCGCCTCTGCTCCCTTGAACACTATCTTTGACAAAACGAGGGGACCGTATTTCTCAGTATCTGGAGAGTGGTGATCCTAAAGGACGTGACTGTCCATTATGTCTTTCTTTAACCTCCTGGCCCTGATCGTGGCCCAGATTTACTTAGTGGCTGCTCAGACCTCAACCACATGCAACCCCCTCAACGCCACCTGCCCGTCGGATCCCGCATTGGGCACGACTTTCTCATGGCAATTCAACGAGACGCTCGACTCCAAGATCTGGGAGACCACCAACGGCCATATCGCCATCACCGACGCCGGCGCGAATTTTACCATCGCTAAGAAGCTGGACTCCCCCACCATCAAGTCGACCTTCTACATTTTCTTCGGTGTCGTTGAGTCATGGGTCAAGATGGCCAAGGGTGGCGGTGTGATTAGCAGTATCGTGTTGGAGTCCGATGACCTGGACGAGATCGACTGGGAGTGGGTGGGCTACAACACTAGCTCAGTCCAGTCCAACTACTTCGGCAAGGGTAACGATACGTCCTTTGACCGCGGAGGCTTCCATTATGTTCCCAACGCCGACACCGAGTTCCACAACTACACTACCTACTGGGATGCCGCAAAACTGGAATGGTGGATTGACGGCACGTTGGTACGCACACTGAAGTACGAGGATGCTTTGGACGGCAAGAACTATCCGCAAACCCCTTGCACACTCCGCTATGGCATCTGGCCCGGTGGTGACCCGAGCGAGCCTCAGGGAACAATCGAGTGGGCGGGCGGAGAGATCGACTATGATGCTGGTCCGTACAATATGGTCGTCCAGAAAGTGCGCGTACAGGACTTCCACACCGGCAAAGAGTACGAATATACCAACCATACGGGCTCGTGGGAGAGCATCAAGGTCGTAACGTAAGTCCTCCTCGCCATTGAGATATTACATGACGGACTACTAACTCTGGAGCTCCAGGGGTAATTCGACGGCTGCCGTGGAATTGAATAAGGAACCGGAGAAGACTCTGGCCCAGAAATGGGCTGAATTGCCCACCGGTGCCAAGATCGGTGTGTACGCTGGCTCTGCGGCGGTCGGAGCCATGCTGCTCGCCGCATTCATTTTGTTCTTCGTGCGCCAGCGCAAGAAGGGTCGTCTCGAACACGCATTGGACGACGCCAAGTGGAACACGGAGCGGACAGAGATGGACTCCTTCCAACAAAATTGGAAACAGACTGAATGGAGAAGTAAATCTGGCTACAAACCGGTATCATAGCCGGGGCCGCCATTCACCTGAAACAGATGACCCCTCTGTTCGACGATGAAAATGAAGGTTTACTTACACGCTCTGGTGGGAAAAGACGCCATCTCCTCGGTTCCATATGCAAGGTTTCTTGCGCCTTGCCCACCCAATCGGCACGTTGTCCTCGGGATAAAACGGACCAGCCTCGCTCCTGCTTTGCTGGCCAAGGTTGTGCGCGAGCTGTTCTTGTTATCTGAGCTCCTGGTGATCGTGCATCCATTCCTGCCACGAAGTTCTTCTCTCGACCTTGGTCGATTTCTTGTTTCTTTTCATCCTGTACACTTTTGCGACGCTATTCATTTCCTCAATCTCTGTTTCAACTACCTTTTCATCTCTGGATTGTCGAGACTCCAGGGCCGACAAACCTTTACTACTTCCTGTATATATGAATATATGTTGTGTGTGGTCCTACTGAACCATATTGATTTCCTCTACTCTTTCTTCTAGAAGGGCGTGCGGGAGTTCATTGCTTTTAGTGAATTGGGCCAGGCTGCTTTCATTGCGGCCCCATGCTACCAGTTTGATAGACCTCAACGGATTACCAACTCCTGTTATCTCTTATCTAAGTCCAGGTTTATCCTGGAGGCTCCCCGTTCAGTTCCATGTATGTTTCTCTGCGTCTTACGTTACTCCGAGACTCCAATTCCCCTTACGGCGAGCACCCTGATGTATCAGTATCACCTAAGCCAGATGGCCTCACAGTGGGGGCTGCAGAGGTCCCTCCGTCGAGTTCAGCAAATCTTCGGGGGTTAAGCACCGATCACGGTCCTAGGTCTGGGCTATGGCCTGGGCCTCGGACCACCTCGAACGGTGCTGTAATGTTGGATTGGCTTGTCTGTCATCTGGATCGGTGGGCTTACGGGCTGGACCGCTGAAAGATGAAGCAGAGGTGCGACACTGGTGTCGTGGACGAGTGTGCAAGTTGGGGGCCGAAGATAGATCGATAAGCCTCGTCTGAGATGAACCATGGGCCCTCACTGGATTCCAAACCATTGACTTCGGGTCTTCGGGTCTTCGGAGCCTTGTCGGAGTATGCCATAAAGAAATACAGCGATAGCAAACAGATACAAGGTGGTTTACTACTGTCAAAAAAAGGAAGAGGTGGGCAAAAAACGATCCCGGTGCGACTCGAACGCACAACCTCTAGTACCGGAAACTAATGCGCTACCATTGCGCCACGAGACCAGCTGTTGAAGTTAATGCCATTTACTTTGACACTATATACAAGATTTATGCTGTGTATCAAGTAGCTTCATTCAACGTTTCGTTACCACAAATTGCCAAACTTATATCTCACTTATAGTTGACTTGGAATACAGTCTTTTCCTTATTAGTTGTTTCCGCAAAAGGTTCCTTACTTGCATCATCTTCACAGAGGCAGTTGGGGCCTGATCCCGTTATAGCATAGTATGGTCTATATTTTCATCGAGCTTTCTTTTCTTTTCTTTTATGTATAAGGGCGTGAGAACATCGCATACCGCTATACCAAAC